TCTTACAGGGTGGGGAAAGTCATTTTCTGGGTTTGGTTAAGAAACTAGCTTTGCAAAGCACTGGTAATTATGACTTAACGTTTCGTTTCTCTTCTGCCCAGACATGCTGGATAAATGTGTTGGGGGTGGAGGCATGGCCAACTGGTGTAGGAAGCTTTCTAAAGGATGGGCAGTCCCGGTTCAAGGGTGAGAACTCAAGCAAATGACTGTTGCTGAAAGAACGTTCATCGATGATGCAACGACTGCAGTTTACAAAGTATTTTCTTTCTGTTTTCTAGTCCATTTTAAGAACAGCTGGAGGTGTGGAAGCCACACTGAGATTGTTTTTTTTGAGGACTTTGCTCCCTGAAATTCAACGATCCCTTTCCTGTAGCCATGGTGGGGGAAGGGGAGGTAATCAGACCCCAGGAGTTTCTTCTGCCCTTTGTTAGGGCAGTTACCAGAGGGAAACTGGCTTAGTCTGCTCTTAAGTGTCCTACTGGATTAAAAGGTACCATTCCAGCTCTCAGCACTGGCCCCGAAAATGCGTCTTTAAGTATAAATGGGTTTGGCCTGACATCTGCTAACATTTACTCTTCCAATGTCAGAAAACTTGGATTGGCTGACACAAGTGGAATTTTTCTTTTTTTCTTTCGTTTGGATAAATGTGTCACGGTCCAATGCTGTTATAACAGATGGAAAAATCCTATGTAGGGCACGCAGGAAGGACTCTGAGGGGCCGTCTGGCATGGGCAGGTTGACAATGAACCCATCTCGCCTCTTACTGAATTAATTCATGTGCACTTCCTGAAAAGAACGTCCTGTCTGAATGTCTGGGTTGTAAGATCGGAGAGTTCACCGTTACCGGGGAGAGGTTCCCTGCGAATGGAAGGAGCCGGAGGTACGGCAGAAACACTCTCCCCCACCGCCCTCGGTACGCCAAGCTTGCCGCAGCCGGGTTAGGACCCTGCAGGTCTCGCTGGGCCTGTGGGTGGGGGTGCAGTCTGGGAGACCAGCTCCAGTGAACGCTCTGACTAGTGCCACTGTGCACCTGGCAAACTCGGGCGTCGCCGCCCGAACCCTTCCCAAAGAGAGCCTCCCCTACACCCCTTTCTCCCCACATCACCCACTGCCCGCCCTGTAGTCTGATAACAGGATCCCACCCCTCCACAGAGTCAGTGACCAGTCCTGGGCATCCTCCTGAGTTCACCCTGGGAACCCCGTGCTCCCATTCTGCACTCAGATCTGCACACCTCTGGCAGAGTAGGGCTCACCCTGTCCTGAACGTGCTGGCCAGACCCAGGGGGCAGAGAAAGCACAGCCTCCCTGTTCTGTCGCGCCGGCGCCCGTGTGACGAGACAGCGAGGGATGCCCAGGCTTCCGCCTCTCCTCGCCGCTGCGGCGCCGATCGCTGCTCATTGCTACCCGCGGCGCACCGAGAAACAGAAGAGATGCGCATCGTTGGCGGGTATTCACATCCCAGCCCGGGGTGGTCCTGGTGGGAGCTGCATCCACACCGCAGAGACCCCTGGGCTCCCCCTCCAGAGGGGCCTTGAGCCCCGCCCCTCCGAGCCACCTGGTCACGTGGCCCGTGGCCCC